TGGTAAAACGAAACTCTTGTCCCTGGAGCTAATAAATTCCATTGCTGTAATCCTGAGCCAAGAAGTTCCCTAGGCTCTTCTGATAGAGCCAAGTCATGGATCAAATATTTTAGTTCTTCTTATGTGATCAGATGAGGCAGTTTATGTTGAAGTGCCACATGAATAGATTTACTAGATAAAGATAATGAAGATGATTCGTTGTCTTCTTCGCAGGATAACTCTTCTGTTTCCTTATGAGTACCATGGGGTACTGGTTTCATTACAAATGCAGTATTTGGATATTTAATGTACTGGTTAGTTTTTCCTGAATATCCAGAAACATTAGTTATGCAAAAATAACAGCCAGTTAGATTTTCTTTGGGCTCACGCCGTATCATGGGAAATAGCACCCTTGCCCTCTTCTTATTCAGCCACTGTGTCAAGCCAGGTATGCAAACTGTACAACACACATGTGGAGCCAATGTTTTCCTTGGTCACTGATTATACATCCAAAATAGTTGTAGTAAGCTACCTTTACCTTGTGTGTGATATTTTCTTTCGTGAAACTGTAATATATTTTCCACAAACGTAGCAGAAACTTATTGAGTGATTTTTTGGATTTTTGGACTTTTCTTGAATAGGAGGCAACCAGTAGTTGAAATGATTTTCGAAACAAAATATAAAATAATTTATGTTTACAGAACTAGAGCTTAAAATGTTTTTCAAAAAAAGGAAAGTTTTGCAGAATTTGATTATATCGCGGGTGTGATGCAAAGAAGAAGGTTGGACTGTACGTGGAGTGAGACGAAGTGACCAACTGAGTGAGTGAAAGGCCACTGAGAGAGAGGCGTCTCATTCCACCCTTTTTATATGCAGTCGAAGGTCCTCTCGAATGTGATAACAAACTGAGCACGTAAGGGTTTCGTGATTCCCGAGGGAGCAGATGAGCGTGGGAATGAAGAAAAAATGGTGCAATTTGCTACAATAGAAAACAACTAGCATATATAAACAGTATATTTATAATTTTACACCAATAGAAAAATGTATGCCTTTTACCCATTAAACTGTCCAAGTAAACTTAATTTCACAGCATAAATTTTTTGGTAATGAGTTGATTGCATGGTATTTCCCATAATGCTGATAAAATATTGAGATATTACAATAATTGAAAATCTAGAGGCGATAGACAACTTTTTACTACATGTTTAAAACTAGCATCATCAAATTACCCCAAATCACTTGAGTTTTCTCCAGTAGAAAATGTTTTGTTTTCCAGTATTATTTTCCAAAGATATGTTGAGGTTTTTACGTTAGTAGTTCTGCACTGTTTATGGACTGCTTAAGTTGAAACGTATCTCCGTTTGAAAATTGCAAAAGTAGATTCTAATTAAAAAATGCAGGTATCACCCACAAGGTTTTGAGTTCGTTTTACTTCAGCATATAGTAACCTAAATTAATTTAGGTACTGCCAATCAAGGAATGAATTAGGCCTCTACGTCACAGATTCTCTTTTCAATTTCAGTTCTGATGAAAATAAAATAAATCTTTAACACTCACATATATATGCAGTTATTGTTGTGATTGAGTTTCATCTCATGAGCAGCGTTACCATTGTCAAACATAACAGGACTTTTACCGGGAAAAATATTAGCTTCTTAACATTATTGAGCTGTAATACAGAGTTGACCTTAATACTTAAATAATTCTTGTTCTCACAAGTTCGAATTGTAGCTTGATTTAACCTCTCATTTCTTTAAAGAACCTATATTTGGGTTTAATGAAAATAGTTAGTCATTGTTCACAACTTTTAAGGAAATTAAAAAATATATTTGTTTTGTAATATGAGCTAATAAGTTTTGCGTTTCAGCATTTCTTTTTAATGCGATTTTTTTGAGCATCATGAAAACAAATGAATTTGATATTTCATTAGAGAAAAAGTATTTGTTTTCAATTCAATTTAAATATGAAAATATTTAAGAGCTGTGATAGGGAGAATTTTAAATATCCTGATTTATTTTATCACCACATATATAGAAATTATTTTTCTTGTGGAACATTAACACCTTGAAGAGTTAAACTGAAAATAAAACGCTTAGAAATGTCATTATTTCATTTTTTAAACTATTTTGTATTTATGGCAAAGCTACCAAGTCTATCTGCCGCCGTCCCTAATTTTGAACTCCTGACCAGAGGGAAGACGGCCAACCAATAGCCCTCTACTACCCATAATCCATGCTCAAGGATTGACTGTCACTCTTATAATGCACCTACAGCTTAAAGTACGTGTAATGTTGTACAATATTGTACTGTGTCGAATCTGGCTTGCCAGCTTCAAAATCCAGAGATATACCATAGATCCAGCCCGCACTCCATTTTTACACTGACACTGTTGCTGTGGTATGTTTTAGAATCGGAGGTTTTGAATTGACATGCTAAAAATATCTATGATTTTCATTTTCAAAAGTGTATTTGAAACAACTACTTAGAATCTGGCTTGCCAGCCTCAAAATCCAGAGATATACCATAGATCCAGCCCGCACTCCATTTTTACACTGACACTGTTGCTGTGGTATGTTTTAAAATCGGAGGTTTTGAATTGACATGCTAAAAATATCTATGATTTTCATTTTCAAAAGTGTATTTGAAACAACTACTTAGAGTAAATTTACTGTCTTGGTATTGCTTATGTGGAAATCTACAGATCAGTTTATTGAAATACTGTAAACGAAAAAGAAACCTTCATTTTATCAATTAAACTTAAGACTGCTTTGGTAAAGTTTTATTACAGAGTTTCCTACAATAATTGATACATAAGATCAGGAGAGTTTATTAAATATGAAAGCATTAAAAACTATTTTCCATGCTTGATATGATCTTCAGATAAACATTGATATAATTCACCAGTGGAAAGAAAATACCTATTATATTTACTTATGTTTCTTTGTTGAAGAACAGCATTTTTTTATCTACAAAAAATAGCAAACTTATGTGGAATTCAACATTATCTTATGCATTAAACAACGTCTTCAGTCCATGGCTCGTATTCTCGGCAGATCTACGATGCTAAAAGGGAAACAGTATCTACAGGGACTACGATAGTCATAACATACAAGATCAATCTGATGCAGCAGTGTCCCTGAAATCTGACTCAAAAAAGGTAAATAATTTAACCACCATCTTGTTCTATCACAGATCATGAAATCAACCTGAAGAAATATACAGAGCAAGTATTTTGGTTTAGATGTAAGAAAACGAAACAAAAAACAACGAATCCTTAATGACTTGCAAGCATTTCAACCAGCGAGCTCTATATATACACCTGGAGTGCTTATTTGCAAGCTGGGTAATGCGAGAAAGTGACGCCACTTTATCGCTTAGTTGTGCCTGGTTTACAGTACAACGACAACCTATACGCAGTGGAGTGAGTGAACTATGAATGGATTATCTTCAAAGACAACGATAAACCTTATTGTATTATGCAGTGGAAGAATATAGCCTATCACTAGAGGATTTGACTTATCTTGTTAGATCTCAGGCAGTATGTGAATAAGTGTTGTTGGTAATGATTACGTCTAATGTTTACGATATTGTTCTATTAAAATATTTATGGAAACGTTTGATGCTTCTGTTACAATTGTATTTATGTGCACATGTTTTTCTAAACCACCCACTACCTCAGCATATTGTTCTATATTATAAATGATATTGTTGACGATTTATTATGCATGAAAAGACGCATACTTTTCTCACTTATGGTTCATATTTTTAACTGAGTTGTTACACAAACGCCTTATTGTTAAACATTTAGACGTGTTGTAAAGAGTTTCTAACGTTTAAAACAATGAAACATTTGCTATGTGTATTGCAGGTACGCGTATAATGATAATATTCTAATTACAAAACTTCTGTAAGGAAGGAACTAACTCAAATATTCCTTTTAAATAACGTGTAACAAGCATAATACTTCATTTTTGTCTAATATGACACTTTACGGGATTGTTTTTTTTTTGGAAACACTCTCTTGTCTAAGATTTCATAAGACATCTTTTTTCACTCTCATATTCAGAGGTACTGTCGTTCTACGAATAGAGTGTGTAGTGTCCAAAACGGCATGCAAATCAAGTTACTATACATACAAAAAGTAAAAACACCGTTTACTGGTATTTTTTACATATGTCATCATTAGTGTAAACGTTGCTATTCAAACCAGACGTAATCAATCCAAAAAGACAGCCTCATTCTTCTGTCGCTAAGCAAGCACTCCAGTTGTATATAGAACTTACTAATACTTAATGTGAAAATTGATTAAAGGAGAGAATCCTGAGCTGAGTTGTGACTCACATGCTATAATATTACATTCATCAGACAAATTTACGTAAAACACATACTTAACATACAAAAACTCTAATACATCTTATATATATCTACATTTGAATCGTCTTGATCTCTCACGTGGTAACGTATATTAGCTGTAGAATCTGTGTCTGGGGGAAAAAGGTTATTCATGAAATTTGTCTAGATAACAGGGAAACAATAGAGTTGCTTTTTATTAAGAATAATTAAATGCAGAGAATGAAAGGAAACTTATATTTATCTCAGATCTTAAGATCCAGTAATTTTAAAATCATTTCTACATCAAATCAGTTATTACTAGTTTGTATGAGCACTTTTAAATTAAAATTAAAGTTTTGATCAAATATACTTATAAATTCATTTATCTATGTGTATATATATATATATATATATATATGCTTGTGTTTATTTTGGCACAACTCCGTCCAAGTATTATCGCTTCTACGATTGTTTCACCGCTTCACCCAAAAATATCACAAGATAAACTCACTAGACCTAAAGGTAAGATCGGCTTATTTACTTTCCGGGAACGGTCGTGAACCACAATTCAGCAAGCTGACTAGGTGCTAAAGAGGTCATTTTCTTGTGTTTACTATGACTGATATACAATAACTACTGTATTATATATGAAAAAAATGTCTATATATATATATAAAATGACAGCATCCTAACCACCTTAATAAACAGCGTTAACTGGAGTTGCTTTAAATTGACTTATTTTCTCTTTCCATTCACGTCCAGTTTGCCACCAAGGTACTAGATCACTCTGTTTGAAATGAAGAACACAAATTCTGGAAGCGAGTATTAATATCCTAAAGAAATCTTACTGGATAATTACTTAATGTTATTCAGTTTGTACAATCAAAAGAAATTTGTGCAATTAAATAGTTTAATAACAGCATAATTTTCTTGATAAAGTAGTTGGCACATCATTTTGAGATGCATTGTTTAATTATGATAAACCAACACACCAAAAATTGTAGCAAATTTACTTATAATTCACCTTTTTTAATGGGTACCTTATACTTTATCAATTGTTTGTTGTTTAAACTTCAAAGCACGTTTAAAATTCAGGCATCAGTAACTAAATACCATATATTCTCTGTCTTGTACTAAAGCATCTTCGTTCTTTAACAAAAAGTAAGCTCAGCTCTCCCATTATTTATAAAAATCGAAAGTCACGTTTTCAACTTTATAACAGAATAATTAAAAAGAAAACGCATTACGGGCATTACCAAAAAATAGTGTCACATGGCATGACGTATATTTATCGGAAAGGGATATAAGCAACCAGAGTGACCAAGGTTTGAAAGAAGACAATAGTTCCAACGTCGAGAGAATAGTATTGTGTCTTGGTTTTCTTTTACTCACCAGAGTAAATCTATATTTATATCAAGAGAGTATAGTACTTGACTGTGAATTAAACATAATTATCTTTTCTGTAAACATCTCCTTTCTGTGTTCGTTGTTTAATTCAGTAAGAAAAAAAAAAACATTCCTATTTATTGGCCTACGTTTATACTGGTGCTTTAGCGTGTGAGATAAAGTTGGAAAAGTGAGCGAAGAGAACATGGAGAAAGATTGTGCGTTTAGAATGCAAAGATTTTGTTAGCTAAACCAAACATTTTAATTATTCAAAGTGCAATTAATTTAAGTTCATGCGATTTCTCCAGACGTAAATCGAATTCAGAAACACGTACGAAATGCCACGATTTCGTTTTCGGTGATATGAAATAAATTATTAAAAGTTTTTCTCATTTATTTAAAATTGAGCCATTTCTTGGGTAAATTACTCCTTAAGAGAAAAGCCACATTTTAAACAACGATTCTTAGCTTTGGTGACTACTTTCTTCTTCCGAAAAGCTTTGCACATCTCTTGATGCTAAAACCACTGGCAACTATCTAAAAAGTGAGTTTTCAACTTACTATCATTTGAAACGGTTTGAACTTTGATTCTAGTAATATAACATGAAATAACCTAAATATTTCATTCAAATACTGATATTGTTAAGCATTTGTTTTAAATAGAAACTTTTTGTTAAACTGCTTGAAGTTTGAATAATTCCGCAGTTATGGATAATTGAATATATATCGCAAATGGGAAAATAGTTATTTAAAACAGGAAACGCTCCAACATCCTTCTCATTGTTAGAGATCGTTCACTGATTTGAGAGCCAGTTTTTCTATTTAAAACGTCTATGTACAGCCGTACGCAGACTTAAAATGCCCTGTAGATCCACAGCTGATGTTATAAAACTAGAGTTAAGCGAAGTCTTCGAAATATGAGTACTGTAGCTAATTAAGTGTGAATTTTGACGCCTTTCAGTATAAAGTGATGCACAGTCATGGGCAAGACGACTCTAGACTTCACTCCTTATAAGGTTACATTGCACACTGATGATTCGTTTAATTATAGTCAGTCACGTGTTCTTAGCCAACTTTGATCCATCGATCAACGGAGTACTCCAGAGCTGCCAACCATCTGAAAATCATATATGAAAGCTATTATACGTAAGCAAGAAAAATATCTATATATAATAATTTAATGAAACCTCTTTTTTTTTAAGGTACTGGATGACGTTTTGAATGATTACTTTTCGTCATTTCCAAGCGGCACAGAAAGAGACAACAAATAATTTCTTTTTTCTTATAAATTCAGGGAAAAAACGATTAGGAAAATTTTTTTTTGGGGGGGGGGTTCAGATCTCCATACTGCTGAGCTCTACTAGTCTTATAGGAAAAACATCAAGTATCTTTATGAAGAGAAAACGAAGTCAAAGAGAAATATATATATATATATCTAGAGCAAAGATCCTCGGAAACATATCTGGTGAGGAAAATACCTAACTTATCCCAAGGTATCTTCATACACCGGAAGGAATTATTTAGATATCTCCATTTGTCTTTTTTTTTTTTCAGTGTTTTTGATTATAGATAGTAAAGCTTCAACACAAGAGTAGCTCTGCAGTATGGAACATAATAAAGAACATGTTTAAATGTTTATTTAGTAACCACATTCACGACACAGAGAACTGAATACAAGATGGTACTAAAATCGAACATTTTTCAATTATAGTCGTTTGATGATATTTGGAGATTCACCTTTTTTTCAGCTTAAAATTCAATGTTAGCACGGTAAAATATAATAATGTATAGCTTTGTATTGTATTATATTGTTGAACAAAGAAAAAATATTATTTAATTTTTGTAGTGGATATTGGTGTATAGGAGACATTTTAATACTAGAAATAAACGGCCTTATAACACCAACTTTATTATTTTTCTTTAATTGGACACTCAATGTTTCGCTTTACCGCTTCTCCAGGAGCATTCCACTTAAGCACAATTACGTAACGTGTTTCTTTCTACTAATAAAAGCAAAAACAATCTAGATAATACCAAAAATAATCATATTGTTTTTACAAATTACAGATTTTACAGATATGCCCTTTTGCTAGTGCGATCGTCTACAAATACACACGTTTTAACGGTGAAAAAGTTTTTTGTATGTGTGTGTTTTCATATAGCAAAGCCACATCGGACTATCTGCTGTGTTCACCAAGAGGGAATCAAATCCCCGATTTTAACGCTGTAAATCCGAAGACTTATCGCTGTCCAACAGGGAAACCAATTTTTGTAAAAGGTGTAACTTGTAAAAAAATTCTTATAATCAGAATGTAAGCTCAAAAGAAACTAAGAATAATAATAATAATAACATGACGCTGAACCAAAATAATTGAATCTAAAGATAAATTTGGGTGACTTTTGGTTTCGTTAACGTAACCACGTAATTAATGCAAGAGCGTCAATTAAATTGTACACGGGAACTGTTTCTCGTAGTAGTTTTGTTCTCTGTTCAGTAGCAGTTGCCCCCCCCCCCAGTAGCACAGCGGTAATTCTGCAGACTTACAACGCTAGAAACCGGGTTTCGATACCCGTGGTGGGCAGAGCACAGATAGCCCATTGTGTAGCAGTTTTTGTTTAAATTTATTATGTTGTATCACTAACTATAATCTATGCCTAAGGCACATGCATCCGAAACATAAGTGCCAGAAATTCCTATTTCTTGTTTACTAAAAAAAAAAAAAAAAACGTTTTGTCTATGTTGCTAATTAGCAACTTTTCATTCTTGATCAATAAAGCCGGCCCGGCATGGCCAGGTGGTTACGGCACTCGACTCGCAATCTGAGGGTCGCGGATTCGAATCCCCGTTACACCAAACATGCTCGCCCTTTCAGCCGTGGGGGCGTTATAATGTGACGGTCAATCCCACTATTCGTTGGTAAAATAGTAGCCCAAGAGTTGGCGGTGGGTGGTGATGACTAGCTGCCTTTCTTCTAGTCTTACACTGCTAAATTAGAGACGGCTAGCGCAGATAGCCCTCGTGTAGCTTTGCGCGAAATTCAAAAACAAACAAACAAACAATCAATAAAGCCTGACGTTTTTTTTTTGTTTGTTTTTAGTAAAGGAATGAATAACATATTAATAATTTTCTGTTAATTTCATAAAATCATTTTTAATGTAAATTCGTAACAACTCATTAAAAATGAAGCCTTGATTCTTTGAACAAAGAGAAATTTATTTCTATTACTTGGTTAGTAACTTAAATATGTCGATGTGGTGAATGAGAATGTGTTTACTAAAGTTTACAAACAGTTGACTCGTATGTGGTTTGAATGGCAATAATTGAGGAAACGGTTAATGTCATTATGGCCGTTCTTTATAAACAATCTAAATAATAAGTACAAAGAAGGAACCTTTAGAAACAAAGCGATTTAACTTATGTCTCACTAATACACTAACAGAAGATTGTCAAAAAATAATAGTTCTTCTAATCCAGTGTCTTATTAAAAACTTGCATTACATTGCAAAGAACATTTGAGACTGTCTGTTTTTTTAAATTTTGTGCAAAGCTGCTCAAGAACTGTCTACGTTAGCCAGCCGTCCCTAAATGTGAAGTGATAGTTAAAAGTAAGGCAGCTAGTCAACATCATCCACTGCCACCTTTTGGGCTATTCTTTACCAATGAATAGTGATTGACAGTCGTATCATGACGCCCCTACGACTGAAAGGGTGAGCATGCTCAGTGAGGGGTTTCAACCCCAATGTCCGCAGATTGGGAGTCGAGTGCCCTAGCATTCGAGAAAAAGAAATAATAATTTCGATTTACTGCTGAATACTTATGTGAACAATATAAACGAGTAAAATATCCAATTGATTACTGTTCTTCTCCAATTATGTAAATTAAGTTCCGTTCTTAACAGAAATTTTATATATACAGTTTATGGAATTTTCTTCTTTGTAAGACTGTTTTACACAGACTTCGGCACGTGTGAAACGGGGCTTCATAAGGTTTGTAATCTTAGTGATTAATTTACACGATCTAATCAGACCTTTCTAAAGATTAAATAACGTACAACGCTTCACCAGATCAAATTAACTCTTATTGCTCCGTCGAAATAAGTACTAAACCCGAATAATGCAAGATTACAGTCAAAGAACAGAGAACAAGTGTATTGCAAAATTATGTGAAACCCAGAGAGAGAACGCGGCTTCAACAAGCTAGAAAACGAAGGAGGGGTCATATTCTATCCTTGTTGTAATACTTGAAGAAAGTTATTATAACATAAATAACTATAGGCGGTGTCGTTACGATGATTAGACAGCAAGAGGAATGGAAAATACAAATGACGTAACTTGAGAAATAATATCTACACGTTTTAAACGTTTTTCCTAACAATATACTATAATAGAGCATTTACCTTTTCTTGTCGTTTTCTGTGTCGGCGACGAAACAGAAACTTCTGAGGTGTGGATCTGGAGGGATGGCTTCAAAAGTATGTTTCTTACCTACGACAGAGGAAGTCTGAAACTTGTATCCGTGAAGTTGAAACAATCCTAGAGGAAAGGGAAAGAAACATTGTAGAAGGTAAATGTGTATTTAAAATGAAACCTTAGTTGAGTATAAGAACAAGAGACACCAGTTTCTATGGTACATTGTAAAAGGCGATTTTGGTAGGTGTGACCTAAAGAATCTAAGTTAGGTTTTAGGAGGGATGGAAATATATACTTTAAGATCAACAAGGTACAGTTTTAACGAATCTCAAGAATTATAATTAATGTTTCATATTTTTTTGTCGTTGAATGAATTTAATGCTCGAACAACCTGTAAGTTACATATTATACTCCAAGTTCGCCAGATGCCGCCACTGGTCTAATATTCCAAGACAGATAGCTCGTTTGGCAGAATACCATGAAGTGTATTTACATTACCGGTTTTCCACGAGATGGTCTTCTTGATAACATAATGCTTTAATAACTAATAAAAGATGAAAAGTGTGGCTATGGGAATAACATGTAAATGTCAAAAGATGAACTGTTTTGGAGAATAACACATAGATATTTATTCGTAGTGAAATGGATTTTCTTGTTGGTAATGGTGGTATAAACATTTTAAAAGTGATTAATTCATGTACTAAAGCAATAACGAACAGATTGGTTGGTTACATATTTTATATAAAATAAATTTTGAAGTGACAGAAAATTTAATCATTTTAGTAGGAAACAGACATGAGCCTGACTGATTTTTCTTAAATTCATATTTACAAAGAATAGAAACAAAAAGGAGTGCATGTGAATAGAAAATTAATTAGGAAAACTAAGATAACCTTTGATCACGGACAACTTACTGTAGCTAAAACACGGTACTCAATACTTATATACATGCTACATGAAGGGCTTGTGCGAGAAGTAAGATTAAAGTTAGACAAACATAAGTTAATTTATCAAAGTAAATGAATTCCATAACAGAAGATGTGGTAAGTTTATGTTTGTAATTAAGCACAAAGCTACACGATGGGCTATCTGTGCTCTGCCCACCACGGATATCGAAACCTGGATTCTAGCGTTGTAAGTCCGCAGACATACCGCTGTGCCTCTGGGGGCGCTGTGGTCAGGAATGTAACTCATGCAAAAATTGACAAAATCTATTTTCAGTTAAATATGGTAGCAAAAAAAAAAAACAGTTCTTAAGAAAAAATTATAATATGTTTGATTTTTTTTTCTTACTCCAAAGCTACACAATGGGATATCTGGGCTCTGTCTATCGCGGGAAATCGAACCGCGGTTTCTAGCGTTGTAAGTCTGGAGACTTAACGCTGACGTGTCGGGTATACTTAAATATATAATTGTTATTTTATACTTAATGTTGTCGACTTCGTTTCAGCTCTTAAGTCTTTTTTATTCTATTTTAGGGTACGATTAAGTTAATTAGTAACAATATAGACATGTTATTGTAAACATCCATTAATTAAAGTATCTTTAGAACAAAAATACACAAAAACACTGACCTATCGCTGATTGAGACGATCTATCTAAATACACATATAACGAGGCGTTTTTGAGAACGAAATATCTCCGTTTCCAAGTTTTCCATCGGCGACCTAGCCGTCCCAGATACCCGTGACAGTCTGGTACTGCTATTGACAATGGTGAGCAATACACATTTTTAATGCTATCCTCTAGGAAAGGATCCACCTGTTGGTCAATAAAAGAAAGTATCTACCGTTGCTTTACTAATTCATTTAAAGCAAAATTACCGTTGGTCATTCTGCATTTATTTTAACAAACAAACGACTTTATTTACGAATGGCATTTCAAATTATGGTTACATGATTACTGCATACTGTTTAGAACAGTGTAATTCACGAAATTAATTAGCTCTCCATGTTGTATAACATAATACCTTTTGTAATAAATTTCCTATAAGCTTATTACTGTTTTCAAAGTACTGAAATATAGAAGGCCGTAAGCACTTGTTTTCGATGTTATCAAGTTCAAAACAGCCATTATTCGTAATGATAACGTGTTTTATTTTGTGTTATATTTACATTTCGTGCCAAGATAACTAACTATGGTTTGAAAACGTTTTTACCTATTAGGTAGCCATGTCTACCTTGAACTTTTAATTTGTTTTTAGCGATCTGCATAACTCATTAGGTGCTTACTGAAGTTTGGAATAATTTTTATATTTAATTCGAAAAATTGGAACATTGTCTTGAGTTTTATGCAAACAACCTGGAATTGCCTAACAGTATAATTCTGCAGTTTTTTAGTTAAAACAAAAAGAAACACCTAGTGTTCGTGAGTTGTATATTAAATACCTGAGAAGCTGAACTAGCCACTTGATTTAAGGCACTGATCCATCTGAAAGGAAGAAAAACAAACATTACATATAAAAGTTTTATATGAATAGATTTTGGAGATAAGAAAATTGACGTGTTGTAAAAAAAAAAGAGATAAATTACTATTACTAATCTTTGTATAATCTTTATTGTAAGCTTTGAAATAGAAATAAAGCGGCGCCAAACTTCGATTTACAAATTCCGTACACAACTATACTACAATGAAACTCCTGCGATTGAGATACGTTCGGAAGGGCAGTGTTGACTAACTTATTTGTACACTCTAATATGTCAGTGGAACAAGGTATTGGGATAAAACTTTAACTAAGGCTAGAAGTACATTCTTTCCTAGGGTGTCTGTAAATACCTAGAAGTAAAAGCAACCAGAGATTTAGATACAGAGCTGAAACTGAGAATGGAATTGCACTGTTTGTATTATCTGTATACAATAGTAAAGTCAGAGGCATCAGAGTGTCACATACAGATATGGAAATGCACTGTTTTCTGTGTCATGTGTATACTTATATAGGTTAGTGGAACAAGTTATGATTAAGGCACAGAGCTGAAACTAGGAACGTAAGTGCACTGCCTTTTGTATTATATGTATACAATAGTAAAGTCAGAGGCATCAGAGTGTAACATACAGATATGGCAAATTGTTGCTTTCTATGTCATATGTTACTTCTATAGGTTAGTGGAACTAGTTATGAATAAGATACAGTGGTGAAACTAAGAAGGGAAGTGCACTGTCTTTTGTATTACCCGAATACTACAGTAAAATCAGAGTCATCAGAATGTAACATATAGATATGGAAATGCACTGTTTTCTGTGTCATATGTATAGTTCAACAGGTTAGTAGAACTAGTGGTGATTAAGATGCAGAGTAGAAGCTAAGGCTTGAAGATTACTGAGTTATATATCAATTGAACTGTTTCACAGGTCAATAGAACCAGAGATTAAGATATAGTATTCGAACTACCAGGAAACTCAAGATAAAAATAGTGGTAGTTATTTGTTTTTAAGATTCTTGAAGTGAATTCGAGTGCAAGAAATATATTCTATTAGAAAAAAATTTAATCATAACTAGTTTTAAAATTAATGTATTTATTCTATCTAACGTTTAGTTACTTAAACTTCATCAGGAAGTAGTTTTAAAATTAATGTATTTATTCTATCTAACGTTTAGTTACTTAAACTTCATCAGGAACTAGTTTTAAAATTAATGTATTTATTCTATCTAACGTTTAGTTACTTAAACTTCATCAGGAACTAGTTTTAAAATTAATGTATTTATTCTATCTAACGTTTAGTTACTTAAACTTCATCAGGAAGTAGTTTTAGAATTAATGTATTTATTCTATCTAACGTTTAGTTACTTAAACTTCATCAGGAACTAGCTTTAAAATTAATGTATTTATTCTGTCTAACGTTTAGTTACTTAAACTTCATCAGGAATTTTCCCGCTCGTTTCCTAACATAGCACAACTAATTTGGTTATGGAGCAGAGGGAGAGAGAATGGACAGAAACCCTATTTACAAAGACACCTCGTCCACGTTTTCCTCACAAACAATTTCAGAAACCGATACATTCGAACTTTGCAACAATATTGAAAATAATTAATTTGAGCTCGTAACAACTTAAATGCCTGGGCTCATAGAACTTCTGTTTAGAAAAAAACGAATGAATACAGATGTGAATTTTGCAGTCCCTCACACTATAGAATTTCTCAAAATAGCCTCAAAAGGTTCTTTATAAGAATTGTGACATTATTAGCGCGGATTTTATCAAGAGGCCGAAAGAAAGCAACTAGCCGGCAACACCCGCCGCCACATCATGTGTTAGTCGTTACCAACTATAGTGGGATTGACCTTCACGTTATAACGCCCCCAAGACTAAAAAGATGAGCATTTTCGGTGGTGGAATTCGGTTGAGCGACCTGCAGATTGCGAGTTGAGAACTTTAATCACCAGGCTATGTTAGGCCCCGTAATCAGCGCGCTTCTAAAGTTTAATTCTGACAATTTTCACGCTTTTCACATACATAGTAGTGATTTCAAAGATAAAATATTTAATGAATGAGAACTATCCACAGATAAGTAAAACTTATGTGCTAAAAATCCGAAATTTTTCCTTCCCGTAATATTATCTGGGGATGTTGACATAGAAATTCAAATTTCCTTAGGAAAAGCCTTCTTTTTGTTGCGATTTTCCAAAAACAATCACCCATTAAAACACATTATTGCTCCTGTGCTATCAAGTTACCCAAATTCGTTCACTAATGAAAGTAACCTACATTACTGTTAGAGATAAACACGACTATTATCTGTAGCCTCTACTACAACATTTACAAAACTCGTCTATTACACCTAGTTTTTACATTTTCATGTTTTTTATAATAAAAGACATCTTCTCACTAAGCAATGTCTAAACCTCAATTGGTTTCAAACGAAAATAGAAAAATGAATGAAAATAGGAGATACAAAATATTATACACGGTTTTAAAGCTACAAACAAAAGGATACAAATCCCAAGAAAAATGCTAAGGATTTTACAATCAAACTTGTTCACAAAGTTAAAAAATTGAACTAATTGGATACAAAGTACATTATTTAAAAATAATAATTGTTTCAACATAGATTTGTTTGTTTGTAGTTAAGCGCAACGAAACACAATGGACTATTTGTACTGCGCTCACCACGAATATCGAAATCCGTTTTTAGCATTGTAAGTCCGCAAACTTATTCCTGAGCCACTGGGAAGCATTTAACACAGGACACTTTATCACTACACATCTGGTATCAAAGCAAAGTACATATTGAGCAAATATAGAAGTAAAGTGCGATCTCTAGAATTCTACAGTTTTTCTAAAAGTCAGAAGGAATGCCTGTTCTGAGACCTACTGTGTCAGCCTGTAATTCTGCCATAAAAATGACTTCGTAACATTTAGACATCAACTGATAAAATGTCTCTCATACTTTCGGAATAGCAATCAAAAGGTTCGAACTTATGTAGAAACTCTATTTTTTCACTATGTTTATTGTTTAACTTATAAGCATTAAATTAATCTAAGATCTTGTCAGGGAATATTCCTGTGAGTTTGAATTAACTAACATTTCAGTGTTTAATCTTGAGCTTGTACCAAATTTTGTTAAGACTAATTACTTTTCAAGTTCAACATTTACATTTATAGCCAAGTAAAAGAAGTGACAATGGGAAACGGGATGGCTGTAAATTTTTGTAGTCGTATCCATGGATCACTTCTATTATAAGGTCATCCTTTACTGATATGAAAAATCTAGTAGAGATCACGACTTGTAGAGTGGATATAATGACGGCATGTTTGGCGGATCTCAATAGCATTAGCAAATTCCATGAGTTTCTGAATACTGTTAGTCCTGCTATTCAATTTGCCTCATCGGGTACCGATGAACTGCCATTTCTTATTATATTAATAAGAGTTTAAGATGATAGCTTAAACATATCCATTCTCCACAAATCATATGTAATTCGCAGCTGTGTTGTTGGAAAAGGCGTGTGTATATGACTTCGCATGTAAGCTCATGTTAAACCTTTTCTTCTACTTATGAAGAACCATTACGGAGTCGAGGACCTTACTTAGAAATATGAAGTGGTTTGTGACAGATTAGACGTTTAGTAGACAATCAAAGGATCTTTTTTATCTACGCTTATGAGTACAGAAATATAGCGACAAGTTGAATTCGTAGGGACACTTTGCCGTACAATACTTTCATGTCGAAAGGTGGACCTTTCTTCATCAGGAGCAGACTGGGAATGCCTTTCTTCATCAGGGTCAGACTGGGAAAGGTCCACATTTCAAAAGAGCTTTGGTTGAACTTTTGAACCTACGAGTTGTTTTACATCATGAATATTTTTTTATCATTACAGCTAAACTATTGCCACGTGTTAGAAAGAGCGTTAGTACAGCGCCATTGGGTCGAAGGTTTCTAAGGTTTCGTTCATTTCCATTTAGGTACACTACTAGTTTTGAACTATCAGTGGCAGTAGCTCGAACAGATCCGATAGCCAAACTTTTATTACGTAATTGTTCCAAAACAATTGGAAATATCTTAGATTTGTTCTATTCAAAGTTCTTTCAAAACAGAGCATTGGTATGATCTATGAATTCGAAAAGATTAGTCGAAAAGACCAAATATTTGATGTGGTCTTTCCAGTGAGTTTAAACTAATAAGACTGTTTCAGAGGAATAACAGCTAACGAACAGAAGTGCAGTTGAATGGAATATTTTAATTCAAATAATTTATATTTATATGAATTATCTTTGTTTAGATATAACAGTATAACTTCTCTGCTTGCGATCAGGATACCCAACCAAAAAAGAACTACATTTGCGAAGGTTCTTGTCAAGGTAATTATCATTACTGCTATTTTACTGTTACTGAATCTGTTTATAGAAAAATGACGTCAGACATAAAAAAAAAGATCAAGTTTTCTAAATGTAAACTTCTTAAGACAAAAATTTGGAAACGGCTTTGTGATGTGAAAGTGATTACCTACAGAAACCATTTATTAAGTTGCGATCTTGACACACACACACTCAACCAGCATGAAAATAAATCAGTCAGGAACTGATATTACTATACCAGTGAGTCAACAAATTACTGAATGTGTTACAAAAAAAAAGAAATATCCTCACTCAAATCAACGATAAACTGTGTGCTTTACCAACATTTGTGTCGGAGATCGTTGAAGTGTGTAAAGTAATAGCTTTTCTATGTGAGCAGTATGAAATATTATTGTGTAAAACAAACAGTTATCAAAACAATACATACTTAGAAGTAAAGAAAATAACTGACTAGCTGCAAAATTGCTGTGACGAGAAAGATAACGTAGTTACGTTTCTTGAATTTCAGTTTAATAAGTTAGATCAATATTGCGGAAAAGGAAAAGAGAGCTACATGATATTCCACATATAGACAACGAAAATAAAAATTAATTGAGATAGTTGGAACTAGGATGGTAAAATTGGGTACAACGGAGCA